AGTCATGCTGACAAGGGATAGGATCAGCCTGTGGTGTTTAACTAAAATCTGGTGATTTTGCTGAGTGATTTTGCACTTCCTCGGGGTGGGATGAATTTGAACCAGGCAGCCTGTGGTGGCCAAGGGGGATTATAAGAGCAGAAGTGACCTGTGGGATCATTTAATCCGTAAATCAAAATGCCCTCATAACCCCTGGCTCTCAAGTGCTTTAGTTGCTCCTCAGAGGTAATCCTGGATTTATTATAGTGCTCGGCTCAGCAGAGCTGCCGGCTCCTAGCATAAGCAGGGCAGCAAACAGGGGCTTCTGTCCCTGGGTGCAGCACACCCCAGTCTGTGTCCTCTCTCAGGACATGGGCTGAGGCATGGTGTGACCACAATTCCTTGGCTCCTGTGTGGAGCCCTGGGTCCCCTGGCTCAGCCCCACAAACTCTGACCCCCTCACGTCTTCCGAGCCCAGCCAGGCTGCAATGCTGCACAAGCCTCAGACTGTCCCAGGTGGTGGTCCCCATGCCCACAGGGTCTGAATCACATCCACCCAACACTTGGGTCCCATGACAGATAAAGTCCGGGCTGAGTTACATCCCCCTTGTCACTAACCCAGGCCTGGAGGTTCCCAGGCCACCACCTCTGTCCCTACCATCCCCCCCTAGCACCAGCTTTTGAGCCTCTGAGCTTAGCCCAAATCCCTGATTTCTCTTCTCTGAGCTGGTGGGAAGACTAGGCCCTTTTCTGCCTCCTGGCCAGCAGCAGTGGTGAATCCCTTGAGCACCATGGCAGCCCCTACCCACAGAGCCCCACCGCACCCCTCTCTGGAAGAAGGTGCTCACACCTTACCGCTGCCCACCACCATGCGTCGGGGATACTGGTGAAGTTGGTGCCTGGGACATCATGTTCCACTGAGTGCATGAGAGCAGAGAAGGTGAAGACCCCCATGGCGATGAAGAGGAAGAGGCAGCAAACCTGCTGGTAGCACTGGCGCATGGTGAAGCCGAAGGCCCGGAGGCCAGTGGAGTGGCGTGCCAGCTTGAGGATGCGGAAGATCCTCATGAGCTTGATGAGTTTGAGGACTTTGCCCAGCTTGCTCACATTCTCCACCTTGTGCAGTTCCTCATGGTAAAGCGTGTCTCCTTCGTCCAGATTTTCAAATAAGATCTGGATGTAGAAGGGCAGGATGGCCACCAGGTCTACAGCATTAAACGCTGCCCGCAAAAAGTTCTTGAAGCTGGAGGAGGATATGAGCCGCATGAGGTATTCAGAGGTGAAGAAGATGGCACAGATCATCTCGAGCTGCTCCATCCATATCTTCCCTGTCTTGTGTTTCATCTCTTCCACTGTGCTCAGTGTCATGCCCACGATGGAGATAAGCACAAAGAAGCTCGACAAGACAGCAATGATCTTGGCTGCAACAGAAGAGTATGGGTTCTCAATAAGGTTCCAGATCATCTTCCGAAACCGTCCCAGAAATTTGCCCTCAAACTGCTCTGCGGAGTCCAGGGGCTCCAGTTCTGCTTCCAGCTCCTTCTGTATTTTCAGGTACTCACTGAGTTCATCTTGCTTTTCCTCCAACAGGATCCGGCAGCAGCGTTGGGAGTATTTCAGATGGATTCCCCAGTACTCAATTTCCTCCACAAAGTTACTGGGGCACATCTCATCCATTACCCACAGGACCCCGCTGCAATAGAAGTGGAAGATGTAGTGGAAAATTGAAGGATCTCTGTCAAAGAAGTACTCATTCTTCTGCACTGAGTAGTCATCGCAGAGCTGCAGCTTCTTCATAGGGTCTGTATAAATGGCCAGCTTCCCAAGCCTGGTGACGGGATACCGGGCTGCGACCTTGTAAGATATCTGGAACAATTTGCCACCCACGTTAATGTTGAGCAAGTACTTGTTCCTTTGGATGGGAGTCTTGCTTTTCTCCTGATTTCTGTCCGTCACATTCTGCATGGAGCTCCATTGCTTTACCAGGCTGTCCTGCGCAAACGGGATATGGACTTCCTCTTCCTCCGGTGTCCGGCAGCAGCCCCGGCGATGCCCTATCTTCAGGCTGGCAGAGAGACTCGCACGTCTCATCCCCAGCTGCCTCATCGTGCCTGACCCTCCAAAGCAGTGAATCCCGTTATGGGCTGCGGGACAGCAGCTCTGCCTTCATGGGAGCGCTCCCACCAGGCATACGCTGACTGGGACAAGTGCTGTGAGCTCAAAGGAGCAGTGGTGAGCTGCTGCCTGAGGGGCACTGGCCATGTCATGGTGCCATGTGGCACCTGCCAGGTTCCCAAAGCTGATTGCTTATCAGATTGCAGTTTGCATCGCAGGAGTCGGAGGCAGCTAAGTGTCTGCTCCTTAAGACAATAATGAGATTGAAGCACTAGCCCTTTATGTAAGGAACTATTTCCAGCCCTGCACTCCTCTTTTTCCTTACTCTGTTCTTATTAGCTGTTTGCATTTGTCACACGCTACCCTGTTTCCAAGGCGGGCACCCACGGTAGCAAGTTGAAAAGAGAGCATGAACTTGCCTTGATTTAACCCTGAAAGACCTCCCTTGCCAGGCACAGAAAAGTGCAGATATACAGGATTTGTATCAGCTTTGTACCCCCACAACAGATGCTGCTCTTGGCACCAGTCGTTCATTAAGCACACGAGTGCTAATGCAGCTGCCTCTGCTTCATCAGCTCTCATAGCCCAAAGAAGGGAAACGGTTGTTACCTCCCAGCTCGTGCCTCAAAACCCCACAGCACAGATTTACAGGGGAATAGGTGAAGGAACCATCTGACCTTCCATGCAGTGCCCAAGTGGATCCCCAACATGACAGATTGCTCCTGCACTGCTGTACTGTGCCACCTGCTCATCACACCGGCCTTCAGCCCCATTACTCCCACAAGCAGGGGCAGGAACATGGAATGGGACACTGGAAATGCAAGTATGCAGTAGAAGTTCCCCTGAACTATAGGAGCTGAAGAGGAGGAAATAATCCTTTGGATGAGCAAGTAAAAGGGGAACCAAAATTAAACGGGCTGACCTTTGATGTCTTACGCTGGAACACAACCCTACCTCACCATGTAAAATATCACATTGATTTCCATGAACTGATCTAATTAAATATAGAGACCTGGAACACAAAGCTGCTTCTAGGCTGAAAAGCAGCTCAAGCTTCACTACAATTGAAGTCTCTGAGCCTGGGGATTAGGACAACAAAAATGCTTCTGGCACCAGACAGAGGAAGGGAAATTGCTGTCACAAACATGGCCCCAAGTTTTGGCACAAGACTCAGAAAAATGTGTTTCTTTCAGCCCTGAAACACTCAGCCCAGGGATCACAAAGCAAAACCTGCATGATCTTGCAGGGGGGAAGAGGCTGCAGCTGCTGAGTTTACCCACTGGCCTTGCTCCCCATCACACAGAGCAAGGGACTTGGCCCCATGTGATAGGAACAGCATGTCTCAGCTCAGCAGCTCAAGGTAAGAGGATGATCTGGGACAGGCTGGTGACAGCTGACCTCTGCCACATGGCCCTGACAGCACAAGCACTTCTATCAGCTCTAGCTCAGCCCTGTCCTGCTGGGATTTCTGAAGCACCTTCCCACTCTGCTGGGCACCCCACTCCTTTCACTTGCTCTAATGAAGAAGGAACAAGTTCAGGAAGTCTTAAGTTTTTCACCTTGCTCTTGGCTAAGCTTTCCACTTGTCATCTATTCTGCAGTAGCACCTCTGGTGCCAATGCCAGCGGGTTCTCTTGTCTTCACACACTCTGCTCCCCGTTATTTCATTTTTTTCTATTACAGCTGATGTGTGCTAGAGTCATTTCAGTCCTGGGCAGACACAGCAGCACTTGCTTTCCCTATCTGCCCGTGCCAGCCCACCCACCACAAGTTCTCTTTCCCAGGATGTGACAATCCAAAGGCGATGCAGCTCCTGGCCTCCTGACTACAGCATTCAAGCAAATGCACAAATCCAAGAAAAATTAAAAATCCAGAACTCATTAGTTTCAAGTTCTTTATTCCCCTGTGTCATTTGCCAACAGCTATTTCCACTTGTCCCTATGGAAACAGAAGCAACGTTGTGTGCACCCTTGCAAATAACTCAGTACTCCATACCACATATAGAAGTTTCTCCTGTGGGGTATAGCAGCACACACACGCTGTCCAGGAGTGGAAGACTCCTGCTCTAAGGTGGATGACCAGTGTCTGCTTGGCAAGCCAAGTTCTCACCTTTAAGGCACAGAGATCAGTAGCGTAGGCAGCAGCTTTCTATCTTCTTTGCAGTTAGGGAACACTTGTGCAAGGAGTATGTGGTCAACACTGAACTAGAGGCACTGGTCAGTGATTTCCTCCCTGGGCTGCCAGTTCTTCTGAAAAGTGTACAGCACTCAGCCGTTCGGAAAAAGCTACACACGTCACAATACACAGACAGTGTTTGATCCAAGACATGAGTTATTTCAAGCTGGGGAAAAAAAAAAACCAACCAAAAAAACAAACACTCAAAACCTCAGTAGAAACACAGAATTGTTTGGGTTGGAAGGGACCTTTAAAGATCATCTATTTCCAACCCCCTTGCCACAGGCAGAGACATCTTTTGCTAGATCAGGTTGCTCACAGCCCCGTCCAACCTGACCTTGAACACTTCCAATGATGGAGCACCCAAAACTTCTCTGGGCAACCTGTTCCAGTGTTTCACCACCCTCATCATAAAACATTTCTTCCCTATGTCCAATCTAAATCTACCCTCTTTCAGTTTATAACTGTCGCCCCTTGTCCTGTCACTACAGGCCTTGGTAGAAAGCCTCTCTCCATCTTTCTTACAAGCTTCCTTTGTATATTGAAAAGACACAATAAGGTCTCACTGGAGCCTTCTCTTCTCCAGGGATTGCCCTGACCCAGGTGCAGGACCTTGCACTTGGCCTTGTTGAACTTCATGGGGGTCACATGGGCCCACTCCTCCAGCCTGAAGGTCCCTCTGGATGGCATCCCCTCCCCCAAATGAATCAACTGCACCACTCAGGTTGGTCTCATCTGCAGACTTGCTGAGGGTCCACTCAATCCCACTATACATGTCACTGATGAAGATATTAAATAGCATTGGTCCCAGTACAGACCCTTGAGGGACACCACTCATGTCGAAACAGTTTTAAGGAAGACACCATTAACAGTTTTAAGAGAAGCAACATCCAGGGTTCAGCACTGGGGTGGAAAGTGCAGTTCTGCAAAGGGCAGAGATCCTTGCTGGAAGGGAGTGTGCTGACAAGCTGCTTGCCCCACACTGACTCCAGGTAGCAGCGCAGCAAAGCCAGAGCAGACAGGAAGCTTTTTAACTTTCACCTCTGTGGTTGACCTGTCAGTAAAAGCTTCCTGTACCTCAGACTGAGCAGCATCAAAACACTAGCGCAAACATGGAGTATACATCTGATCTGTGCGGAGTCAGCGAGTTCCTACTGAAACAGATGAGAAAGCCCCTATTCCCTGACAAAATCCAGGGGGAAGAATGGGGCAAGTGAAAAAAGTCTCTTGGCTGGAAGTGGAAGGAAACAGTTGAATAGCACCTAGCATCTGTCATTTCATGGAGAATAAAATCTTTGGGCCCAAGGCCACACTGGTGAGAATTAGCATTAACAACGTCTAGAGGCAAGAACAATGAAGAAATTTCTACCACCTTTGTGACGGGTGATTTCACAGCACCAGGGTAGGTCCTGTGCTATTTCCAGAGCCAAAGTAGTCCCACAATCTAAGACCCATTTCCAAGGGGAGCATTCTCTTGTTATTCCAGTGTAATAACCCAGATTTGAGAGCTTATGTCCAATTCAGTCAGCCTCTGTGGTGAGCAGTAGGGAGACCAGGCTAGTCCCATCTTCTCACCTCATGGTAAAGACCTCTGTTACAAGAACAGAAAAACACCTGGTTATTGACAGTCCTTTGAGCAAAAACCTGGTCTGACTTCAGTTTGTGCAAAGTGGAGGAAAACAACCCACATCAGATTAGTATCTTAGCATGAGTGCTCAGTGTCCTTGGCAGCACAGGAAGGACAGTGGCCAGCACATCGCTATCAAAAGAAGCCAGCATCTTCTTAGATTAGGTTGTGCAGCTGTCCCTGCAGTCAAGTAAGAGCCTTCATACCTGACTGCAAGGAATGAAGGTAAGGGGAGAGTTCTGTTGCTTCAGAGCAGACTGAAACCCCAAGCATGTGGCTGACCAGCAGCAGGAACAGCTGGGAAAAGCTGCTCCGAGAGGGGAAAGCTCTAAGAGGCTAGAAACACCAGGCAAGAAGGCATTTCTCCCTCATGCATACAGGGTGCACAGGGTGCAAGAAACTTACCATTCAGGGAAATGAGCCTGTCTGGCTCTTGTCAGGCATCAGCTGTTCCTTGGATGCTTTTTCAAGGCTGAAGATGTCAGATCTGCTTTTTGCTTTGGACAGGCTCCACATAGGAATAGAACCCACAGCTACCAAGATGCTCAGGAGCACTAGAGAGGAGAATGCACAAGCAGAGGACCACTCACAGCACCTGGTCTGGACATCAGTACTGGGCTGTGCTGCTCAACAGCATTAGCCAACAGCTAGAGACCAGCAGCTTCCCTCAAGGATAAAGGACAGAGAGGAAGTGAGTTAGTGCCAGATTGCATGGAATGGCCTTTCCAAGGACATAGTGAGTCCAAGTCAGAGGAATGATTAAGCTGTGGTGTAAGGCCTCCCCTAGCCCTCCCAGCCCAATGAAAGCAGTTGCTGATACAGGTCTGTAATTAACTCCATCTGGAAACTCAATTTATAGCCCAAGCCAGGACCAAGACCATGTGCAGCACTCTGAATCTCACATACCTGCAATAATCAAGATCCACCTGCGGCCTTGACTCCTCGATGGCACAGAGCCCCCAGGCACAGGCGTAGCTGAAGCCTCTGCAAGGAAAGAGCAGGAAGTCCATCAGGCTTCCAACTCACCTTATGGTCAGCATTCAAAGCAGTCTCCGATCCAAACCTGGCTGGGTTCCCAGTTCACCTCAAGCATGCCAAGAGGCCTTTTTCAATTCAAGCAAAACCTTATCTTCCATTACTGTGATTAGCCCACATCAAAGGAAAAAAAGTCATACTGGAACTGATAACAGGAAAAGCTGGGAAGTCTCCCAGCTGCAGCTGCAGCATTCTAACCTCTCCTCGTGGCACTGGGGAGCCCCAGGTACAACCAAAACACAGCTCAACTCACCACCTGCCAACTGAGTTGGTGCAGGCATCAAATCCAAATACAGTCTCTCACGCCTGTGGTAGTCTACCTCCCCTCCACATCCACAGTGCTTCAGCTCCCAGACACCACAGGGACACCTGGGGTAAGGGAAGGTGGAACAGCACTTTCAAGCACCTCAGCCAACAGGTCTGTGACAAAGGAAGCTCCAGAGCATCTCGGAGCAGAGCAGCAGACACAAACAGTCCCGGGGATGCAGACACACCCTTCAGCTTGACAGATATCAGTGTCTGCTGCTCCGATCCTGCCCGCACAGCCCTGAAGTGCTTCCCCCATCCTTTTCCCTTCAACCTGCCCATTCCCCAGAAATCAGAGGAGCTCAGAAGGGTGGACAGAGACTCCAGTATCACTGACTTCTTGGAAGGAAGCAGCCAGAATTGCATGTTATGGAAGAAAGTACTTCAAAGGCACTTCCCGAGGGAGCCCCGAGGTGTTTAAAAACCGTCTCCACAGGAGGAAGCTTAAGGTGGGGCTAACCCTGCAGTGCTTCCTCTGCCCGAAGCAAGTTGCGAGGATCGCAACTGTCTCGGAGAGGCTAGGCACGACAGAGGTGAAAGAAAGGCTTCAGCCGGGGTTATCACCCCCGAGCACGGCCGCCGCCAGCCGGGGCTCAGCCCACCGGCCCCCCCCCGGCCGACCGAAGGGGCCACGGCCCCCTACCTGCGCTGCCGGTGGGCAGCACCGCCGAGCTCCGCGGCGGGGTCACCCAAAAGCCGTCAGGGCTGGGCTCCGCCGGGGTGTCCGTCCCGCAGTCCTGCTCGTCCCTCTCGTCCTCGCAGTCGGGGTGCCCATCGCAGATCCACTCCAGGCGGAAGCAGGCGTCGCCGGGCTTGCACTGGAACAGGCCCGGGGGGCAGCCGGACAGGGATGCTGCGGGGAGCGGAGTAGCGGGTGAGGAGCCGCGGGGGCGCCGGGGCACCTCACCCCGGCCGGCCCGGT